ACTGAAATAAACTCAAACATTTAACGCGATATAGACTCCTGATACCAATTTTATAACTAAACTTTTAGAGACACAGACCATCGTCTTTTCTCAAGATCTATCATGTGAAACCATTGAGGACATAATACTAGATACAAAAGCGTACCTGAATCCATAAACGCCATAGCATTTCTCCATCTTTTGATTATGAGTCTTCCAAATCAAGACGTGCGTCATTCTGTCCTTTCCAATGAAGGGATGCGAGAAAGAAAACCCTACATGATTTGGGGATCACAAACCTTTATTTATAATAGGCACAAGTTTTGGTAAATCTAATTTAACCCATCATTAAACTAGAAATTACATTTGAATATCTATACGTAAGACCATATACTTTGTAAGGTGTCGTTTAGACCCATTAAGTTTAAACCTTAACAGATCACTTTAACTTGGGTAAGACTTTTAACTATAGAAATCAACATACAATTATTCTTGGACAAATTACTTGGATTGGTACCTTTTAATCAATAATTATCGATTTTAGCGATACTTTTTATTTATTACCATTTATAGCAATACTATGTTAAATCTGCAATATGTATTAAAAGTGAATTATGTATGCAATATATATGTATTATAATTGTTTTTTAAAATATATTATGCTTGTTTGGTAAGAAATTGACACATTGAATTATAAGTGTATTAAAATGTGTGATAAATCTATTATCCATCAATAAAACTTGTATTATATGTGAATAATAAATTGTTCTTTGTAATATGTATTAAAACTGTATTATAAATATATTAAAAGTGATTAAGTGAAAAAAAATATTATTGCTACAAATGGTAAATATTTTGTTAATATAGTATATTTATGTAAGTTTCCCATTCTTCTTCATACAATATATATGGAAGCCCATAAAAGTTCTAACAATTACAACTTGTCAAAGATCATAAAATTGAAAAACATAAGCATTTTTATGAGTTTGTGTGCATATAATTTCATTATTTATAGAAAGAAATATGTCTTTTTTCATTCATCCACCCTTTATTTGTCTTTATTTCATTCATAATTTCACGTGGCAAGAGTTTGTGCTAATTAAATGTCGTAATTTAAGCTAAATTTTAAGTGAAATAAAGGTTTTTTGAATTTTTTTTTTGATCAAAATGAACCTCAAAAATCAAGTAGTACTTCATTTATATGCCTGGCTGATAGACCAATATTTGTTCCTTCGTAGTTTGTTCTATTCACACAAGTGCAGACTGGAATGTATAAAAGAAATGCAACCTTTGATACAAGTCCTAAAATTAATACTATATATTAGGAAGCCTCCAAGTCTAAAGTTGAATTACGAAAATGCCCATACAAATTTTTATTAACAATTTTGTTCTACACTAAAAATAAAAAAAATAAAAACTTCTAGATAGAAAACCGTTCATTTTCTACATTGAATTTGAATGTAGAAAATTGTTCCATCTTCCCACAATTATTAAATTATTAAATGTTTGAGTTGCTTAGTTATCAGCAGTAATTATTTCAATCTTAATGTTTTGTTTCTTTCATCTTCCATGGTAGTAATAATTTTTTCATATTCTTTAGGCAAAATTACTAAACTACACTACATATGTTTACTTATTCTCGTTTAATCCCTACTCTTTCATAAAAATTCAAATAATTTCTTCACAAAAAACAGTGTTGGAAAAACAATCATAAGACAATTTTATATATTTGTTTCTTCAAGCATTGAGGATGGATTGTAATAAACTCTAATCTTTCCCCATTACCAAATCAGTTACCGAATTCAAAGCAATTTGATTTTCAAACGATTCTATCTTTATTCAACCATCCAAAGTTCAAAATAGGTATTATCATCTTCTTCATTTTTCTTTCAAAATCAATTTTTGTGTTTCAATTGATTTTGGATCAATTGTCAAAATGGATCATCCGTCTTTTAATATTGAAAATTTCCAAATAATAACACCTAACAATGATCAAATTTTTTATTCAGAAGACCCAAAATGATACCTTTTTTACATGTTGTCTCTTTTAACTTTGGCACACATCGTTACAAAGATATTAAGTATCAAATACACAAAATTGATACTAAAATTACTCTAACTTGTTTTAAGCTGATATTAAATTTCCAAAAAATTGTTATGTACATGAAACACAATTGCGTCCACAAATATCAAA